ACTGCAGGGAAACATTACAAACGTATTGTCATCTATATTGAGTCATAATAATAGGCCTTTTAAATGTTAATAAGAAAGACTGAGAGGCATATAAACAATATACAACATTTGAGTGTGGTAATTCAGATTGTATTCCTTTTGAAAAGGCTTTATGATGCAGTTATTGATTCATCAAGACGAAACTGTTTTCTGTGTCTTAACAAGCCTGGCTTCATGTTACACAGACTTCTGTGGGGTTGACTCTTATTTGGAACCATTTCAAACTAATTAGCAAAAAGAGAAATGGTGGTGTTCGTAAGTACCACAGCTCTGGGCCTGTTTGAACAGCTCTTCTCCAAAATTAATTTGGTTGTAGCCCTGCATGAATAATAACTTTGTGGCAACAGTTTAGATAAATATATTGTTAATCAATGCCATCTTTCTGAACAAAATGCTGGAGCAAATACTACATAACAACACAAGACAACATAGAAAAGTTGAGTTTGAGAAGCTTTGAAAGACACAGTTTGCAGTTCAATTTTGTTTCTTTTTTGCAAATGATAAGTATTTATTCAGTTTTCAATTAATTTATTTACTTTTGTTTATGGTGTTTTATGATCCTGAATTATTATTACACAGTTGAATAGTAATTTCCAACCAGCCCAAGGTTCTGGGCTGGGGGACCATTGCATACTCGGCTTAGTAGGTTTATAAGGATTGACAATGGCTGGGAACTGACTGGACAATGCAGAGCTTTAAATATTCACATGTTTTTCTTAATGGTTAACAGTCTTGTCCTTTTATTTTCAACTTTTATTTTAGATTCAGGTGGTGAATGTGCAAGTATGTTACATGCATAAATCGTAAAGGCATAAATTTGCATATGTTTACCCAGCCTTGCATCCCAGGGATGAAGCCCAGGTACATTGTGTGATGCTGAGTTTTGGAATATGAATAGTCCCATCACCCAGGTATTGAACACAGTACTCAACAATTAGTTTTTCAACCTTGGCCCCTACCCTTTCCCTTTCTAGCAGTCCCTAATTTATATTGTTGCCATCTTTATGTCCATGAGTACTCAATAATTTAGCTCCTACTTATACATGAGAACATGTGGTATTTGGTTTTCTGTTCCTTCATTAAGTCTCTCAGGATAATGGCCTCCAGCTGCATCCATGTTGTTGCAAAGAACATGATTTCATTCTTTTTCATGGATACATAGTATTCCACGACATATATGTACTAGATTTTTTTTTATCCAATCCACCATTGATGGGCACATAGTTTAAATCCAGGTCTTTGCTATTGTAAGTGATTTCCTCTTTAATCTTCTTTTTAAAGTTTGCTTTGGCTATTTTGGGTCTTTCATGACTCCATACAAATTTTAGAACTTTCTATTCCTGTTGAGAATGTCAGATTGACATTTTAATAAAGATATATTGAATCTGTAGATCATTTTGCATAGTATGGATTATTTTTAGAAGCAGGTTCTCACTGTGTCATCCAGGGTAGTCTCAAACTCCTGGCTTCAAATGATTCTCCTGCCTCAGGCTCCCAAAGCACTGGAACTGAAGGCATGAGCCACTGTGCCTGGCCTACATTTTAACAATACAAATTATTCTAATTTATAAATATTGTATGTCTTTTTATTTATCCATATCTTCTTTAATTTTCTTCATCTATATTTTATACTTTATAATGTACAAGTTTTTTACCTCCTTGGTTACATTTATTCCCAAGTATTTTATTCATTTTGATTTTTTGTAGCTAAATTTGTATTTTGCAATTTCACTAATTTTTTATTAGTTCTAAAAGTTTTTTATTGAGTCTTTAGGATTTTCTACATGTAGATCATATCACCTGCAAACAGAAATAACTTTACTTCTTTCTAATTTAGATGTCTTTTATTTCTTTCTTTCTTTCTTTTTTTTTTTTTTTTTTTTTTTTGCCTAATTGCTCTAGCTAGAACTTTTAGTAGTATGTTGAACAGAAGTGGTAATAGGGAGCCACCTTGCCATGTACCAGATCTTACAGGAAAAGCTTTCAGTTTTTCCACATTGATTATGATATTATCTGTGAAGTTTTCATATATTGTCTTTATTGTTTTGAGATAAAATGGATAGAACACTCAGGACAAAAAAGTTATAAAGAAACAGCTAACTTGAACATTGCTGCATACTAAGTAGACCTAATAAACATATACAGAACTTTCCACCTAACAACAGAATAATATACATTTTTCTCAAGTGTACATAGAATGTTCTCCAAAATAGATTACATTTTAGATCACAAAACAAGTTATAGCAAATTTAATAAGATTGAAATCATTCCAAATATCTTTTCCGGCCACAATGGAATGAAACTAGAAATCAATAACAGTAAATAAATGAGAAATCTTACAAATACATAGTGACTAAAAACACACTCTTGAACAACCATCGGGTAAAAAGAAAATCAAAAGAGGATTTTAAAAATATCTGAAAACAAAATTATGAAAACAACATACCAAAACTTAAGGTACACAGCAAAAGCAATACAAAAGAGGAAATTTATGGTAATGAACACCTACATTAAAAAGAATAAATATCTCACATTTAAAAACCTAACTTTACACCCCAAGAAACTAGAAAAAGTAGAACAAACTAAGCCCAAAGTTAGCAGAAGAAAGGAAATAATAAAGGTTAAAGCAGAAATAAATCAAATAGTGAATAGAAAAAAAAAAGTAGGAAAAATCAACAAAACTATTTTTTAATTAATTTTTTTAAATTTTTAATTAATTTTTAATTAATACAGCAAACTCTTAGCTAGGCTAACTAAAGGGGAAGAGAGCAAAGACTCAAATAAATAAAATAAGAAATGAAAGATGAGACTTTACAATGGATGCCTCAGAAATAAAAAGGATCACAAGGGACTATAATGAACAATGATACACCAACAAATTGGACAACTTAGAGAAATTGATAAATTCCTAGCATCATATAACCTACCAAAACTGAACCAAGATGAAATAGAAAGCCTGAGCAGACCAATAAAATTTAAAAAGGTGATTTATCAAGAATGAAATACTTTCCAACAAAGAAAAGCCTAGGACCAGACACCTTCACAGGTGAATTCTACCAAACATTCAGAGAAAAATTAGAACCAATTCTTCTCAAAACATAGAGGTAGATGAACTACTTTCAAACATTTCATGAGGCCAGCATCAATCTACTAGCACAGCCAGACAAAGATACCACAAGAAAAGAAAACTACATGCCAATTTTTCTAATGAACATAGATGCAAAAATTTTCAACAAAATACTAGCAAACCAAATTCAACAGCATGTTAAAAGAATAACACACCATAACCAAGTGGATTTCCCCTGGGATGCAGGTGTGGTTCAACATATGCAAATCAATGAATGTGATGCACCATATTAACAAAATAAAGGATAAGAAAATATTATCCTGATAGATGCAGAAAAAGCATTTGACAAAATTCAACCTCCACTCATGATAAAAACTCTCAACAAAATATGTATAGAAAAAACTTATCTAAACACAATAAATGCCACATGTGAAAATTTGTATTTTATTTTGTCTCTGATAATTCTCTTTCTTCTGGATTAAGAATTTTGTACCATCAATTACCATTATTTTCTAAATACCTATGGGATTAAAACAACCCTAATATTTTGGTATAAACGAGAGAAACTATAGGATTCTGATCCCCTGACAATTACAATCAAGGGCACAGAAAATATAAAGTATTTCAAAGTTACAGAGTCCAGAGCAAGGAGCCACTATCTCATCAGCAATTGAGAGTGGGTACCATACTTTCCCACCAGAGACTCCTGTGACTCATGCTTTAGAATATCGCAGTGTATAACATTGATATGCCCAAACTGGAGGACTTATTTATTTTCCCCCTTTGGAGCCGGGACCCATATCCCGCTCATGTCCATCAGGGACCTTCCAGTCTAACAATGACTTATTAAAGAGCTCTGATGTATAAGCTGATTAGACTCTAGACAACAGTCACCACCAACCCCTCTCCCAAATAACCAGAAACCTGTTGGACCTGAAATCAGCTCAGCATTCATTAGTATCATGACAAAGCAAAGAAAGAGTTTAGGCCAAGGTCTTAATGGGACCTCAGTTGTTTTTTCTGGAGGCCTTCAACTCACTGGGTGAGTCTCACCCACATTATTGAAGGTAATGTGCTTGACTCAAAGTCTACCGATTTAAATGTTTATCATATCTAAAACGCATCTTCACAAAAGCACCTTTATCTGACAGCTGTTCGACAAGCAACTGGATACCATAGCCTAGCCAAATCAACAAATGAGATTACTCATCACAGGAAAAAAAAAAAGATAATTATTTAAATATAGTGAAAACATGGAGTAGAGTAAATGTATATAGAATGAGCATCCTGAGTCAATAGATAGAATATGAGAAAAAAGAAATGAAAGAGAAAAGGCATGAAAGGATCCAAGAGAAGAAGGACTAAAGGAGTTTGCATTACGGAATGACCTACAACGATAAAGATAAGAAGCATGGTGGATTTGACATTTCTCAAAGGGAAGGCCAGAGCCAATGAGGTGGTCCTCACCTGTTGGAGGCCTAAGCAGGTTAGTAGAGTGAATATTTCTCATTATTGAAATGGAACATTGTGGAGGCAACATTAAAATTTTTTGGTAAAGATCTTTTAGGAACAGAAAAGGATCAATTGCCCTAACAACGACTAAGTCAGTATCAGTCCCTCTCTTGTGGTCAGAAAGCCCTAAACTCTGTAAGTGAACCTGGGAAAGACTAGAGTTTTTCCACACTGCTTGAGTGAAATCTAGCAACTAACCCAGACTTTTGTCAATCATCCACCCACACCTTTAAATCTAATTTGAGATGTTTACAAGATATTTCAGTGGGCATGTCACTCCACGTCTCTACTTTACATTATTGAGGCTTGCCTAGCCTGCTTCTCCAGAACTGGTTTATGAAGTCTGTCCTACTGGAATTTGGTCTGCTTGTGATCTGTGCACCTTTCTGGTGTCCCATGTGTGGCCACTGCTTCTGCTGTGGTCTCTCTTCCTAAATTCCTGAGAATGACTCTCCAGCACTGTTCCTTGTCTTGAGCCAGTCCGACTTTGTTCCAGACACCGTTTCACGTAGCACCACAGTCGAGCATATTCTAAGCCCTTTCTGAAAATATTGCTGACAACAGGTTTAGGCATCAAGGCTCATACATAACAAAATAAAACAAACAAACAAAAATGAACAATAACAAAGCTTTGTGTTCAGTCTGCTCTGTGGGACTATTTTAGCTGATTCTGAACTGCTAGGTCCTAAACCCTGCAAGTCTGCTGAGTCATAGTAACTGCCTGCCCAACTTGTTTAATCTTAACTACATCCTAGAATCTACTCTTATTGACTTCCAGAATCCCGTACTAGAAAGGCTCGAAATTTGATACCCTCATGATCCATATGATAACCCACAGACACCTTGAGAAAGTAGTGTAATGGATTGAGTCAGACTGACCTCTGTTATAATCCTGCATGCTATTTGCTAACTGTGTGATGCTCAAGGCATTATAAAAGAGAAATATTAATTCTCAAAATGTTACTGTATATATTAAATGGAACTAGTCTCATGTTTGTGAAACCAAACTACCACACTGCACAACATGTTAAGCTTGTTAAATATGAATATGAATGAACAGAAATATGACTTTGACATCCCACTTGCATTTCTCTGGGATAAGAAAAACATAAAGACCTTAGTCTTGCTGACAAATAAACCAAAAATATTGAATATAATAGTCTTTATAGTAGTCAAACATGATAATTTGGGATGTATAAAACATGGAGAGATTATACCATTCATTTTTCAAAACATTTCCTTAAACTGCAAGTTCTTTCTCTTGGAATAGTATATTATAAGATATTAAAGATCTGTTAAAACTGCTGATTGTAAAGCAAGCTGGAGAAATAGATTTTTTTCTTGTTACTCCTTTGCCCACTCCATTATCCCAGTTGATTTCTTGCTCCTCTGAGTCAGAAAAGGAAATAGTTTCTGAATATTCAAGGAGAAAAAGAGGGAAGAGCGAAAGACACATCCCTTCTCACAACTACCCAACACATTTACTTCTTAGTAGAAACCAATGATAGGCAGACAATCAATAAACTGGAAGAGCAGTAGCTATATTTTCCTAAAGCTACGGGCAGATATAATATACTTGGAATTCTGTGGGTTTCTTTCAGTAAGTCTTCTTCTATCTGAAATAGCATATAAGATGGGATTGTGAGTGGATAATTTTAATGAATATAGAGGAAACTTTTGTACGTGCTGAAATGGTACAATGACAAAACATACAGAGAACAAATTAGAGCAAGGGAGTAGCCTAGTCCAGAGAAAATGGGATGCCACGTAACAGGCAGAAGCTTGGACTGGTTAATGAACTTAGAATTAAGAGAGGGTACAAACAGAAAGCCTAAGAGAGAACCCTGGCCATACCTGGACTAAACTCTGGTGGCTGAAGGAAAAGTAAAAGGAATGACTAACATTGGCCTCTAATTCCTTCAGTTTGTATTCCTGCTTGGCCCTGCCTGGAATCCCATTTTTTATGGACTGGTGACTGCCTGGTTCTAATTGGTTCTGATGGGAAGCTGGAGGGCAGGAAGAGGGCAGGGAATTGGCCAAAATGGAGGGAAGCCTGTGTCTTCCTACAACTCCTCATCCAAATTAAACAATTTAGCTTTTCTCAGGCAGATATAGTTTTGCATCATTTTAAGCAAGTTTTTCTTTCACCTTCTAAACCCCCACTTACTTGTAATTAATTATTCGTCAAGATGGTCCATAAAACAAGCTATGCCAGGAAGCTTTGAAACAATAAAGCAATAGACACATGGTGAGTCACTAAACAGACAAGGACATTTCTACCTTTATACAATGCAAAATTCCAGAGAGCCCCTTCATCACAGAGATTTTTCTTTTGCTTTCCAAAATCAGTCGGAATGTTGAGGGTCTAATCACTGGCAGGCACCCAGATAATGTCATGCCTTTTTACAAAGGCAAGGATATCCATTGAAGCCTTAATTCATTTTAAAAAATTGGAAGAGACCCAATAAAAACAGGAGAAGCTATAATTTGGTTTTTAAAAAGTCCCAGATTTTGAATAAGCATGAAACAAAGAGAAGACATCTTGATAGAGTTCAAATAGGTTACTTGGACTGCTGAATCCCCCAGAAGACATAATAATACACGATGGGCAGTATTGTCATTAGCAAGAGGACAGAACCAAGGGGCAATAATCCTAAAAGTTACCAGTGAGGGTCCTAGATCACAAAGACTTGGGAATTTGGTAACCAGTGATATATAACTACAGAATAAACAGGCAGTTCTGAGAGAACTAAAAGAATTAGTGATTCAGAATTATAAATGCAGTCTATATCAGGACTAGTTAGATCCAGACAGGGATATCATTCCAAAGAAAACAGGTTTCTAGGCAGGGCCAGGGCAGAGATTAGAACTAAAAAGTAAAGCAAAAAAGGTAATTATGTGGGATGATAAATATGATAATCTTGCTTTACTATAGTAACCATTATAGTATCTATATATACCTATGTATTTATACATAACTCATAGCATTATTTTGTAAACCTCAAATAAAATTTATTTTTTGAAAAAGCAATCAACCAGGAAATTTAAAAATCTAGAATAGAGATACAAGGAAATACAAGGAAAGGTAGTTGGCATTGTCTATCTTTCCTCTTATTGATCCAATCTTATTTTTAGAATCATGAAACCAGACAACAGATCCATATGTTCATTTTAAACTGAGTACACAAATGGTGTTCAAATGAGAATCTCCCACCCTAACCCAAGACTAGAAACTTCTACCAGTTTAGGAGCCCCTGGGAGGTCATAAGCCAGTATCTGTGGGTAATATAAAGTAGATACAAAACTCTTATTATGGAGGCTTCAGAAATAAGAGCTAGACATGATAGAATGAGACCTGAGATTGGCTGAATGTATAGGTAATTCAGATGTCATTTGGAAATTTCCTCTTCCTCAGTGCCCTAGGTTGAAACGTCCTTGAATCCTTACTGATTTCATATTTGGAGAAAGTGTAAGAACCTCTCCAACATCCATAGAATCAAAATATCCATGTCACCTCTATCTCTAGCCCCTACATTCAAGCATTTCATCTCTGTTTAGTTTCCATATCAACCCAAAATCAAATATCCCAAGCGTTTTATGATGGTCTTTGATTTACCAATGACTTGAGGTTCATAGAAACTGATACATGATGCTATTATCATGATCTCCTTTCATGTCTCCTTTTTCCTTTCTGACTCTCTGTCTCACACAGAGGAAACAATTTCACCTTGTCTATTATGTATTATTTTTCTCATCTTTTTTAGAAGTCTTGGCACTAACTAAAACCAAAGCTTGTCAGTATTTTCCTACCTAAAGATGGCTTAGAAAGACAGTTTCCAAAAAAAGCAATATTCTCCCTAAGATGATAAAATCTCTCACCACCAGAAAAACAAACTATTTTAGATTATTATTCTTTCCTGAAAATGATATTTGTAACTTATGCAAAATTTGAGCTGAAATTGGATAGGTCATATGCAAGAAAACTGAAAATTGATAAAGGGGACCAATCCCTGAGTAAGGCAGCAATGTTGACACAGACAAGGTAAATTGTGCAAGCTCAGAGAGGCAGAAATTAACCTCCAAAATACATGGCAGTGACCATTACACATTATTTCTTCAAGCAGAGGACTGCATACCCGACCATTCTCCCTGTCAATAATAGAATTCATTCATACTCTTATTTAGGTCACAGAACAGTAACAAGTGAGGTTAAGAGCTTTGTAGGGTCACAGATAGAGGCATAAAGAAAGTAAGGAAACAGAGGGCTCAGCAAAAAGGGCAGGGATGCAAAAGCCAAACTGTTGGCCACAACAAAACTTGCAAAAACTTGACAATGCCTCGTGTACGAAAGATAAGAATTATAGAGAGAAGAAGCACAGAATCTCAGGCAGAAAGACATATAATTTGACCTTAGCATGTGTCCTTGATACACACAAGGATAGTGAAATAGGAGTGTGAGGTATAAGATTCGTGGATATTCCTATGTGTGTTCTTGTCAGGATCCCTGGTGTGCTGCTTCACCATCTGGAAAGCTCTGTGGCCAACAGCACCTTCTGCCTGAGTGTTGCTCATGCTCACTGGGCTCATTCCACCCACTTGGCCCAGCAGGCTACACTTGGCTATGGGTCCAGATCCCACACCTACCAAGGGTGAGCCAGGTGTGGAGAGGCAAGGGTTGTGTGAGCAAGCAAACACAGAGTCCAGCCACTGCACACAGTCAGGCATGTCAGCTGCTGGGGCAGGGTGGGCAGCTTCAGATGCCAGCACAGATGTCATCTCCATGCGAGGCTGCAACTGGACCTGATGTACTGCACATGGTTTCTACTGCAGACATGCGCGTCCAGATAAGAGGAACACAATGGTGCCCAAAAGCTTGATGATACTACAAATTGCAGAGCCCCAAAGAGGGTGTCACAACACTGGCTCAGGGACCCCCTAGTTCTGGGCTTGCTGAGGGGCTGCAGTTCTTCTCTTCTTGTCACCTACAATGTGGCAAGCAGGGGGCATACTTCAGCCCTGTTTGTGTTACAGCTGTTTCAGTCCTGTGATTCAGCAGGTCTCCAGTTTTTATGTGGTGTCCAGGAAGAATGAACTACCCAAACAACTGGAGGGTGAGTAAGGAAAAGAGGAGCTTCATTGAGTGACAGAATGGGTCTCAGGAGACCTAAAGTGAGTAGTTCTTTTCTACAGGCAGGTCGTCCCAACAAGTGTCCAACATTCAGCAGAGAGGAGACCCAGAGTGGGTAGCTCCTTTTCACAAGCTGGTCATCTGGACAAGTTTAGGAGACCCGAACTGGGTATCTCCTTCCTACAGCTGGTCATCTCAACAGCTCTGTGAGTCTGGCTGAGTTTGGAGTTTTTGTGGGCTTCAGAAGGGTGGAGGTGTACACTTATTAGTTCATCAACAGCCATGGGTGGGTCCGGAAAATGCATTATAAGTTCTCACTCCAGGCCACAAACTGTGCTTGGAAATGAAAGCCCAGCCCCCGTGCTTCAGGTCATCCTTGGCTTGAAGGTGAGGTTTCACCAGGGATGTACCCCTTTCTGCCCAGGAACCTGTCTACCTCCTGCCACCATCGATGATGTTGTCCATGGAACCCAGGCTGTTTGTGTCATGGGGCACATGCAGGCCCATGCCAACCTGCCCTCAGCCCCTCTCAGCCTCCCTCACATGCCTGTCAGTACCAAAAGTCCAGAAGGGGCTGAGGTGTCAGGTGGCTAGCATGTTAGAGTTGCTCCAAGTGTGCACACCTAGCCAGCTTGTGACAGCACCCAGGCTCAGCCTCAACTTTTCTCCAAAATTAGAGTGGGCACCAGGAACAGGGAGAGGCCAGGGAGTGGGAGGAGAGACTTTTGAGCCTTTGGGGTCAGGGAGGACTACCTGGGCCTCCAAGAGTTCAGGGATGCCCAGGTCTGCAGCCATGGTTAGGCAGCTGCAGCTGCAACCAAGAGGGTGGGGTCCCACCCCATAAACTCAGAAAGGGGCAGGGCTCCTGCCTGTTCCCAGCTCCCACTTGTTGCGGGAAGTCAGGGATCCCAAAAAGAGGGACTGGCTGGAGCCACAGTAGAGGAACTTAAATTGTGAAGATTTCTTGGACATACATCTGTTCCCCAAATTAATACCTTTATAATTTCTTATGCCTGTCTTTACTGCAATCTCTGAACATAAACTGCAAAGATTTCATTTTAATATGAACATTTATCAGTTCCCCAAATTAATACTTTTACAATTTCTTATGCCTGTCTTACTTTAATCTCTTAATCCTGTTATCTTTGTAAGTTGAGGATGTACATCACCTGAGGACCCTGTGATGATTGCATTAACTGTACAAATTGATTGTAAAACCTGTGTGTTTGAACAATATGAAATCTGATTGCAAAATATGTGTGTTTGAACGATATGAAATCAGTGCATCTTGGAAAAGAACAGAATGACAGTGATTTTAGGGAACAAGGGAAGACAACCATAAGGTCTGACTGCCTGCAGGGTCGGGGAAAAACAGCCATATTTTTCTTCTTGCAGAGAGCCTATAAATGGATGTGCAAGTAGGAGAGATATCACTAAATTCTTTTCCTAGCAAAGAATATAATATTAAGACCCTAGGAAAACAATTGTATTCCTGGAGGGAGGTCTATAAACGGCTGCCCTGGGAGTGCCTGTCCTATGGGGCTGAGATAAGGACTGAAATACACCCTGGTCTCCTGCAGTACCCTCAGGCTTATTAGGATGGGGAAAAAATCCTGCCCTGGTAAATTTGAGGTCAGACCAGTTCTCTGCTTTCTAACCCTGTTTTCTGTTGTTTAAGATGTTTATCAAGACAATACATGCACAGCTGAACATAGACCCTCATCAGTAATTCTAATTCTGCCCTTTGCCTTGTGATCTTTGCTTTTGTCCTTGCCCAGTTTCCTCAGAAGCATGTGATCTTGGTTCTCCCTTTTGCCCTTTGAAGTATGTGATCCTTGTGACCTACTCCCTGTTCATACACCTCCTCCCCTTTTAAAATCCCTAATGAAAACTTGCTGGTTTTGTGGCTCAGGTGGGCATCATGGACCTACCGATATGTGATGTCAACCCCTGTGGCCCAGCTGTAAAATTCCTCTCTTTGTACTCTTTCTCTTTATTTCTCAGACCAGCTGACACTTAGGGAACAGAATATACATTGAAATATTGGAGGCAGGTTCCCCGATACCCACTGGCTTTGTGGAGCACACAGCCCTGCCCATGCCTCCCTGCTGTAGCCAGTGTCTTCACAGTGGCTGCTCCAGGTGGGCTGCCACTGCCACCAATTCCCTTCTGAAGAGGTACACCTAACTGCTGTTAGGATAGGAATGATGATCACTCTTAACTGCTTCATTCTGACAGAAGGTGCTGTTTTGGGGAAAACAGCAGTCAGATATGTCTCAGAGGCCTAAGGGTCCCTGGTAAAAAGGGAGTCATCATCCATGGCTCCAGTTGCATGACTGCTTGGAGTTGATAATCTCTAGGTGAGAAGAAACAGATTTTACAAGAAGGTTAAGTATGTGAAGGAAAAAAAAATCCAGTGCCAAAGATAACAGAAATAAGAAGCAAAATAGACTAACCATTCTGAAAACAATGTTGTAGCTGGAGCTGTTTCACCCTGATGAAAGAAATTGAATCTCATTTGGCGTTAGAAGAGAAATAACTGTTTAGGGGAGTAGATAATCCCTTGGTTTTGTTTTCCCATAAATAAAAGCTCCGGGTTATGGGCACCCCATTTACCCTCATTGCCTGGTAGAATTTGCAGGATAATTGACCAGAATGAGAATATTGATCAAGACTTTTACATTACCCATTCCCTTTGTTTCTTCTGAGCTGCAGTCAGAGATCTCTGGTTGGCTCACAAAAAATAAGAATGGTTCTTAATCTAAAATGCAGACAAAAACTTAAAAACAACTAATGAGCACCTGTCAAATTCCTATAGTTCATTAAAAACTATCTTTTGAAGTGGATCAAAACACAACAATAATTGTCTGTGAATGACAAAATGTCTTACAGTAGTCATAGTTAAAAACATGATTGACAAAGAAATTTGGTTATTTCTGTGGTTTATAATAACATAATAACCCTAATTATGATTGATAGCATACACTCAGACATTAGAATTTTAGAAATCCCATACCATTTTGGAACATATGTTAATAATGTTTACTAAAATATAATCTGAAGAATAAACCTTATTTTTATTTCAACAATTCCTTGTAACTAAACATGCCAGATATATCTGTTTACCTCTATTCTGGATGTTCTGGTGGCCCTCTGTAGCATCACAAAGTTAGGGGTCAGAAAAGACTATTCTGAAGCTGAAATTTAATTTTGGAAAGCCTATCAAATATATATTAAAGATTTAAAACATTTCATATTTTGAAAAGAATTTCATGTTACCTTAAGTCATTTATTTACCCAAAATAATGACTCAAAACTGTAAAAAGAAGGCAAAAACCTTTTCTCATTAAGAGGGAAGACTTAGCTTTCCAAACAATCTGTCTCTTGTCCTTCCCTTCTTTTTTTGGTAGTTTATTTACAAAGCAAACAAAAATCTTTTATTATTCTTTAACACATGAAAATCTTGTTCCAGAGAAACAGAGCCAAATTTCACCATTGCATTAGTCTATTATTAATGTCAACCCCAATTTTTAAATAAAAACTTATGGACAAATCTATCTAATCTTAACCAATTTGACCATGAGATGAGATTCCCATAAACCTTTTATAACCCATTACAAACTTTTGTTAAAGAGCAAATCATTGCCTTAAGAAAACTCTGTTTTGCTTTTATTCTGATGTTCAACACACAGAAAAAGCTAATAATATCCTCTTGAATAAGTAAATATGTTCACACAAAAAATTTTGTTAAAAGATTAATTTTTGCAAAACTTCCAAAACTTGTTCAAACCTTTCATTTTATCTTATCTAATTTCAAACAATTCTTTAACTCTCTAAACAGACAGAAATTTACATTCCTATGCCTTCATATAATCTTTTACCAAAAAAAATTTACTTTCCTCACACACCTTGAAGGTAAACCTATTTTCAATAGACTCAATTACATGTTATAGTGGTAACTCTTAGCAATTTTTAATTTTGGCATAAAATTGGTAAGTTACCTTAATTCTGTAGTAGGTGCAGATAATATTTGACTCTTTCCAGCATAGTTAGGGGTGTGGTTAACTCCATATGTCCCCAGACTTTACCAAACTGTAAAGCAAGCAAGTCAAACAATTTTCAAAAGCCAAAGAAGCAGTTTATGACCTTAAAGAATTTAGCAAACCTACTTTCTGACCTGCATAATTTAGGCCATATGTCTACATTTTGAAGACATTCTTACATTACCAATAATATTTAAAGTTGTTTTTAATTCTCAAAGATTAAAGTCACATGAACTAAAAGGGATTACAGATTCATTTTTCTTTAAAAAATATTTGATCTAAGCCATTATTTTTCTTTAAGCTAATCAATTAGATCTTTTTTTTTTTTACATAAACATCACACACATAACACATATATAACTACACAGACAGGGCGAGGGGTGGAGCAAGATGGCCGAATAGGAACAGCTCCAGTCTCCAGCTCCCAGCGCGAGCGACACAGAAGACAGGTGATTTCTGCATTATCAACTGAGGTACTGGGTTCATCTCGTTATTTGCCATGTTGGTGTGCTGCACCCATAACTTGTCAGCCACCCATCAACTCGTCATTTACATCAGGTATATATCCCAATGCAATCCCTCCCCACTTCCCCCTCCCCGTGATAGGCCCCGGTGTGTGATGTTCCCCTTCCCGAGTCCAAGTGACTCATTGTTCAGTTCCAACCTATGAGTGTAGAACATGCGGTGTTTGGTTTCTGTTCTTGCGATAGTTTGCTGAGAATGATGCGTTCCAGCTGCATCTATGTCCCCTACAAAGGAATAAACTCATCCTTTTATGGCTGCATAGTATTCCCATGTGTATATGTCACATTTTCTTAATCAGTTAGTCACTGATGGACATTTGGGTGATTCCAAGTCTTTGCTATTGTGAATAGTGCTGCAATAAACATCTACGTGTGCATGTGTCTTTATAGCAGCATGATTTTATAATCCTTTGGGTATGATACCCAGTAATGGGATGGCTGGAGTCACATGTATTTCTAGTTCTAATCCTTGAGGAATCGCCATGCTAACTGTTTTCCATAATGGTTGAACCTAGTTTTTACAATCCCACCAACAGTGTAAAAGTGTTCCGTATTCTGCCAATTCTCTCCAGCACCTGTTGTTTCCTGAACTTTTAATGATTGCCATTGCTAACTGCGTGCTGAGATGGTATCGTCATTGTGGTTTTGATTGCATTTCCTCTGATGGCCATGATAGATGAGCATTTTTTTCATGTGTCTGTGGCTGTATAATGTCCTCTTTGAGAAATGCTT